AACGGCGGCCTGTGCAACTCCAGTTAAATAAATTTTTTATTTGCCTTTTGTTGGCAAAAAAAAAAACAGAAACAAATTACATAACAAAGTCTCTGTCTAAGCTCTGTGAGGGAGGAAAGCAATCAGAAGTGGTTCGAGTGGTAGTACTTTGTTATGGTAACTTATCCAGTGCAGTCGATAATTTCCTCTACCGTCACACTGTTTTAGAAGCAAGCTGCAAGTGATTTTGATTCTCAAGCTGTTGGGTACATAATAGTACTATGCACTGTACTATCGTAACGAATCGCACAGAGATCAGCACTTCCACTGGCAAATTTGAGCTAGTGTCTGAAGCCTGACGTCGAGTACCGCTTAACATACGCAAAATTCGTCAGTTCGCGCTTTCACAAGACAGCCTAAGTAGTGATGGACAAGGCTTATAATAATCTCACAAATTTTCTAATTTTCATTTCTCACCTTCTTTTTTCATTCTTCTCTTTATTTCATTCCTTATAACTTTTTATTGCCTGAGCGATTATACATTTCTGCATAATTCCATCCTATACTTTACGGACTGCCTGTACTGGGTGTGTGTGTGTGTGTGTGTGTGACTACGGTATTGCAATTTGAAAACTTGTTATGTCTTTTCGCAGGGGCTCATGCCTAGATAGTGGCAGCTCGCAAAATGAACATAAAACATCCTCAGAAAAATGCTTCATTCTGCTCAGTTCGGTTACCAAGTTACCAGGGTGCCAACAATTTCCCAATCTCGCACTCATGCGAGACACAGACGTGCTTTAAAGCTGAACTTGAATATTTTGGTCGCAAATTTGCACAGAATGTTATCTTAAAGCTTCATTTCCCTAGCTCGACTAGTTGGCGAAATCGTTACATATATCTTCTACACGTCCGAAAGTGTACGCCATAGCTCATTTTATGCCTACCTTTCGCATATGAAAAATAAATCCCACCTCCCTACCTTAGCCGGCCCTAGAGTTGAAAGTGGGTGATAAAATGCGAACGCATACTCACAGACAACCTCTCGCCAATACGCGCTTTTGAGTTTATAAAAATATGTGAAAAGGCATAAAATTGTTCAAAAATGCGCATCTATCGGGAGAAAAGCTGAACTGGAAATGCGTTCAGGCGGCCGAACGAACATCAGAATGGTTAACAGAAGGTTGACCGTCAAAGAATGCAACATTGGTCAAAGCAGTAGGAAAAGTTGGCAATCACATAAGTGAAGAAATAGGTTCCCAATTGCATTTATTCAAACTGTCGAAAGAACTGGCATTAAAGTATCGTTTGTCGTTATTGGAACAGTTAACTAATTCCCCTGCTGCCCTTAAAAAGACTTTGATATCAGAACGCCCATTTTTTGCGAAGTTTCCATTGAAATCTATTACAAATCCAACTTCATTTCCTCCCGAATGAATGAGTAAACAAATAAGCAAGCAAACAAATGGTTTTGTTCGTTCGGTGCCAGGAACCCCGTGGAACAACAGGGGAAAAACCGAAAAAAAAAATTAGGGCACCAAGGCTGGCAGAGTGTGAGTAGGTGGTGGTGGCGGTGGTTGAATGCACAAATGAGTCGCAGTGGTCATTACAAATATTTGCTTGCCGAATGATGCAGCAGGAGCAGCAGCAATTGGTCCCTATCAGTCCCAGCTCTCCCGAAGGACTCAACGGATTTTCGGAATCACTAAAAAAGACGGGAAGAAGAGAGGGGCAGGCAGGAGTGCCACCCACAAGCTGACACTGCTACGCATTAAACACCACGAACTTCGATTGCTACAGCCCCCCACTCCTGATAAATGAAAAATTAATCTTTCGCAACATTTTTCCCCCCGGCCTCTTATTTCCCCCCTCCCCCTCTCCCGCCTTACTCAGCCGGAATAATATCATTATCCTGACAGACTATCTCCGTAATGTTCTATTGAAAAATGTCCTCCGTTGTCCACTCCCTCAATCCTTTCCGTTCACTGCCACTCCCTCAACCATACCTCCACAGCTCCAAAATCCAATTCTCTGAATTTTAACAAGCAAAAATCTGAAGACAACGAGGCATTTATTGTGAGAATCTAAAGAAGACGTATTGTCCGACGGAGAAGAAAGACATCTAAAAAAGATGGGAGCTCCTTGGAAATGCCTGATGACTCAGTTTTTGGGGACATACATCGTTCTTGGGAGAAAAATAACTGGACAGGGGAAAACTCCCGTTACTACCTTTTTGCTCAGTCTTTGAGGATATAAAGAGGTCATGCTGTCCAAGCGATACGTCTGGAAAGAGAGGAGCTCCCCAAAACTGTCATATGGCTCAATCTTTGAGGATTTAAAGAAAAAAACATGCTGTCTGAGGAAGGAGAGGACAGGCACTATGAAAGAGGGGAGAGGAGAATGAGGGACGAGTGAGGTAATGGTCATTTCTTTTTTTTTCTGAAGAATTTCTGCTTACGCATTTGACAACCCGATTGTAAAAAAAAACCACCGATAACCAAAAAAATTTCTTTTCAGAAAAAACACTGCAAAGGTATTTCTGTTTTACCGGAGGTTAGTGGTGATTTTTCCCGTTTTTGTTCCTTTAACGAATTTATTCTGTCCAGTAGTCTAGTTAAGAGAGCACAGGGACTGTAGTGGAGGAGGAAGAGGCAAGGGGTGAACAAAAAAAAATTTATTATATTTCTCCCCTTCAAAAGTAAACCCGCATCCTCTCAAAGAAAATATAAAATTTCGCTGTTTCCTCAAAAAATGGTAGCACTTTTACATGTTGCTTTACAGTATCCTTCACAGCCCAATTTTTTGTAAGAGGTGGAGGTATACAGAAGTAACCCGAATGATATTACAGTAACCATCCCGGATGACTACTTCTTTTGCAAAACTAGTTCTAACTTCTTCAAAAATATCGAATATACTACTCGAACGAATTAAAATATCATAAAAGAACTAGCTTATGAACTTAAATCAATGAACCGAGTTTAACAGTAGGTATCATTTGTTATCAGTTTGTAATTTTATAATTTGTAATTTTTTTACATGATCCAATCATTCGTTTCAAAAGATAAACTTGTATTGGCACATGCTCGGGAGTCAAACCCGCCATCAGTTTGCTTCTAAGCAACCCTCGAAAGACGGGGCCATCAACAGCCTTATCAGTGGATGATAATACTGCTGCCACTTGGATCGATTATGTGTTTCTCGATAAATTAAAAAAGCCCTTATTTACCGTTTTCAAAAAATTATAACTGTACTACTCTACCGGAAAAACTGACCCCTCCCTCAACCTCCTTTAAAAAATCCCATCCGAACAATCATCCTATTTATCTTAGGACTATCGGAATTGCTCAAAAAAAATGTGCTTACTGGATAAACGAAGACTGATTGAGGGCAACTCACAAATATACAGGGCAGAGAGGAAGAGGAGGCGAATGAGAGAACACAAATTCCCAGCCAAAGTACTGTAGGAGGGATAGACGAATGAATTGAATGGTGCGTTGTAGATTCGAAAATACCATAACAAATTTGTAATTCGTCAACATAACTGATTACTCGTTTATACTTTTACACTCCACTTCTTAAAATGAGGACGCAGTTCTCCGACCCACTGAAGGATGTTTGCCAACGCTACAAAACTAGTTGGATATCAACTAACGGTCTTGGTACTTCTGACATCGCGGATGGCTCAAGATGGAAGGATCGAACCACTGCGCTCAGGCACCATACATGGATCCACGATGGGTTCCTGGAGGGGTGGGAGAAGGGAGGGAGAAGGACAGTGGGGGGGATAATCCTCTCTCACCCTGGAGCTATGCCAAAATCAGGAATAGAGTTGTAACACTGCTACTTAGTGTTACTTTAGTTCAGAGTTATTTTAGGCTTTAGTTTAGTTTTAGCTTTAGACCCAGACTTTTACAGTACTGGTGCCTTTGCCACTGAAGTGAAAGACCCTTCGTCCTTCCCCCACCCCTTTTTCCTCGCCCCCCTCCCTCCCCCTTAGATCTGTTCATGTCAGTCACTCAACCTATGCCTGCATGGAATCTAGCACTCCACGTTGAAATCCAGGCGGTCACTGCGATATTCGAAATGGGCTAATTCAACCGGAATGATCGGCGATAAAAAAAGCCCAAACTGTGTCCCGGATGATGAATCGCGTCAAAAGCCAGCAGTGACATGAAAAATAACTGAGCGGATATGTCTCTGTTCTAAAGAACATAGGGCGGTGCACACACTCGGACAGATGTCAATGCATCATACAATCCGATGGCGAGCACTGAATTTTCAGCATGCACTAATTAGCACATGCCTCAAACATGGCTGTGAACCACCAGACTAATCATTTTTGCGCTAATTATTTTTCCAGTAATATGAGCTAATTTCAAGTTCGTTCCGGACAATTTCTGCTGGCGTTCCATGTTGATTACATAAATACAAGGAAGCTTTTTTCATTTCGAGGAGCAGCTATGCTAAAATTTATGGAACTTTTACTACTTAAGTATTGTGAAAATTCTGAAGATACAAACAGTGAATATCCCTGGCTAGGAGACTGGAAGAGATAAGGGAGGGTGCCAAAACTGCCCAAAACTACTTTTGTCTTAGTTGCATAAACCGCACTATTAAAGTACTGCTATAGACCACATTTACTGCTGAAGCAAAATCCATTTGCCCAAATCGGGTGCTGTCCATTTGTTGCTCTCATCCGTTCGTTCTTCCAGTCACTGAATTAACTCTCTGTTCGATCGACTGCCGGTCTTTCCCAGGTTAATCCAAAAATTAGCTAAAAAGCTGCTGTTGATCTCCAGCCAGCTGTCCGATCTTGCTGCATATGCAGTTACTCAAATTTTAGCGATGTTGCTCGACGAACTAGGCATATTCATTGGCGGATTCAGAGCGGTTTCCTGGGGCAAAAAAGGGGCGGGGGTGAGGGGAGGGCGACAACTAATATCGAAGACAGTTTTCTCCACTTTTAGCACTGCAACCTGTGCCGCTGGGGGTCTCTCTCTCCCCCCTCCTGCACTCCTCCCCTCCTCCGGGTCCTTTAATAGGCATATTGCCAGTTTGCCTGAAATCGAAAATTTGGCCATGCTTGCCCAGCAGTTGCTACATGGACTAACATTTATGGCCTAATTTCTTGATCAACTACACAAAATGCTTTTCGTCTGCCTGGCATGAAAAATACGGTCTTTTTTGGTCTGAAAATGCCCAGTGAACTATGACCACCAGATAAACTGTCCGCCGGCCCACCAAAGAATCCGGCCTTATTTACGCAGCAAATGCAAATGAACTAGCACTGTTGTTGCCTAATTTTTCGAAAAAAATCCATTTTAAACAACGTATTTTTGCTGTAATAGACAAAAAAAAAATCTATCTTACCTGGCCGGATTTTGATACATCATTTTACCAGGTGCTTCTGAAATCGCAATAGTGGCAATGTTCTGAAGCGGATGCTGTTGTTGTTGTTGCTGTTGTTGCTGATGATGATGATGTTGATGAGGATGATGAGGATGATGGGGTGGTGGTACAGAAAGATGAGGATTCTGTTGTTGCTGTTGCTGCTGCTGATGATGAT